TCACTAGTACTCCAACTATTAGGTAAACATGTAATATAATTGAAAGTTTTTTAACCACTTAAATCAGGGGTCATTACATGGCATCTGTAAAAAAGGGTATAAACTGAGGCGGCTTTCAAAATAGGCCAATTACATCAGCACTACATGACCTTTCAGAAGAGCTTGACCCTGTACAGAGATTAATTCTGAACAGCCTCAAAATTCTTTTGCAGTTTCAGGATTTGTGGACTTAATAGTGTAGAAAGATCAACAGTGTTCTGGGGAACTCAAATTTTACTCTGAATGCTATCATTAACTGAGTAATCTTAATTAAAGCACTTCATCTTTCTGGGCCTTAGTTTTATCACCTATAAAATAGGAAACATTCCTGCAAAAAAAAATCCTATGACTTTTATCCAGTGGATCTAGCTTTCTAATGCTGTTTCAACCTAAAATGCAAATAACGCCATTCAGTAAGATACAGCTTTGTCAACAACATCTATTCATAAATTTCTTTTCCTTTTAAAATTTACACAGGGTTAAAGGTAGGAGCACATTAGGATACTCCTTTAGAGCCTATAAATAATTCATCAAAAAAAAGGTCTAGGTATATTAATTAATCATGATCTGAATGATTTCATTCAAAGATGCTTAAAGTAATCAATTTTGGCTAAATTACTCAACTCTGAATCTTAATACCATGTAAAAGCTAAACATAACAGTTTTACTGCATGCATCCTTAACAGGACACACAAGCTCCACTTGCTAGCCCGTCACCTGTCACCTGGGGGAGAAGCCACAGTCTGTAAGAGGATGAAGGGTGTGCTGTGCCTAGAGCAGTCCCACATTGTGGGTGCTATTACCTTCTTCCACATCACACTATAAACTTTACATTTTCTTTTCATAAATGTTTCTCTGCTATCGTTTCACCATGGCCCCTATTTCATAACAATGTCCCATGGGGCTTGCCATTTCCTCAGATCTCTCCTCACCTCTGTGGAGAAACACAATTGACAATATTACCAGACTGTGATGACTAAAATGTCTTCCATATGACAAATTAAAATATGTCTTCACTTTTTTATTATGGAGACTTCACTTGGATCTAAGTTACACTGGAATCAGAGAAACTCAAGTATAATAAAGCTGAAGTATACTTGGGTTTTACTTTTACCCCTGAACACGATGAGATGGAATATCCCAAGTGCTTCTTCTTCTATGTCTAATTCTCACTATCAGAAGCATTCCATCAAGCATCCTACATCAGAAAGGGTGTATAAGCATATGTGTATGTGGGGGAGGGTATAAGAGGGAGGGAGGAGGGGGAAAAAGGCTGAACACATGAGAGTTAGAAAAGTTGACTTAGAAAAGGCTACACCATTACAAAATTTTTATTTGTCCCCAACTCAAAATCTTTGATTAAAGCATGTAACCAGGCTGTTGGCTATAAAGCTAAACAAGCAAAAAAGTCACACAGTTGAATGTGGTGAAGGCAAATACCTCAGAAATGGTCAAACATATCTGTAGCTTGCAACAGAAAAGACTGCTTGCTGCAGTACTGCTATCAAACAGATTTTATCCATTTCAAAAAAATGACTTTTTTTTTTCTTCTTAAAACTATGAAGCAAGTCATGAAAGGATTAGAAATACCACTTTCCTTCAGCATATGACTTCTCAGCTCAGCCAGCTACTAATTTTCACCAAATACAGGCATGGCGGCACAAAGAATAATCCCTATTTTAGGGTCCTTTCTGGAAACTTCAGGGAACATCAACATTTTCAAAATGGTGAAGTTTCCTTGCCCCTCCCCCCAAAAAACTAAAAACATTCTCCTGAAGAAATCTCAGTATTCTGTAGACAGACAGTATACCATAATGCCTGGCAAAACATCTGGTTTTGCTGCTTTGGTAAACACAGGGGTCGTGCGTGTCGTTATGACTCGCTGCTTTGTTCATCAATATGCACTGGGATGCAAGACTCTACCTACCATCAGTCCTGAGAGAAATCTTACCTATTGCTGTAAAGTATTCTACTGCTTCATGAGTGCCAAACCTTGAATCATAGCCTATGCAAGAGGATTTGTCATGAAAAATCTACTGTTTTGAAAGTTTCCACAGTCATAAAAGCCAAGGCTTTCAATCAAGGGATTCTTAAGAGGTTTTGTCAAGAAATGGGAGCAACTATGCAATTCTTTGCTACACATAAGTTCACTGGCTTTCAGAAGACAAATCTATAGCCAGAATTTTACTGCTATTAACCGGGTAAAATATAAATTCGTTTGCAGTTTAACCCTTCATTCTTAAAACTAAAATGTATAGTCATAATCCTTTTCTTCCCAGCATAGCATTATGTCACGATCTTGCTGAAAATGATCTTTAGAAAGTAAACGATTCAACACAAATTTATCTAAAAGAGTCTTGGAGAATTCTAATTTCTTGACACAATATTGTCTAAAGAATCTACAGATTCCATTTGTAATTTCATTCTTTGGTGAGATAGGGTTGTATGCACTTGTTTTTGACCAAAAACAAAGTAAAAACTGATTGGATATCAAAGATGACACAAAGGTTGCCAAGTCAAAGACAATGGAATAGCTTGAATGTGTTATTTAAAAGCTAAATAATGGCAGCCCTTTCATTAAAATTTACTATGTGCAGAACTAAAGCTTAATTTTGGTTCATTTGCACCACTTAGATTTAGCTGTCATTCTCAAAAACTGGTCACTGATTTCTTTTTTCATCTTCACCCAAGGATATGTTTCTACTGATTTAGAGAGAGAGGGAGGGGGAGAGAGAAACACTGATGTCTGAGAGAAACTGACTGTTGCCTCCCATGCACACCCCAGTTGGGGATTCAAACTGCAACCTAGGTATGTGCCCTGACCAGGGATCGAACCCAAAACCTTTTGGTGCTCGGGACAATGCCCAAATCAACTGAGCCACCCAGCCAGGGTATGGCCATTGATTTTTGCATGGAAAAAAAGGGAGAAATAATTCTTATGAAGATTTATTTTACATTCTATGTTAAAAAAATAGTTTTCAGTGCAATTAAAAACTGTTAAGAACAATTTTATGTTCATGTAGGCCTGGGGTGAGGAACTGGCTCTGCCAAGGCAACTGAAGGCCAGACTCGAAATTCAAAAAATCTAGGAGCTCTTTTTCATAGCTAATTTTTAAGCTGATGATTTTGTATGGCCCGTGAATGATGTTATAAATATCCAAATGGCCCTTGGCAGAAAAAAGGTTCCCCACTCCTGATGTAGACTATGCACAATTTTGGAAAGAATATTCATGGCTTTCACCACATTTTTAAAAGGTGTATAACATACTTTAAGCACCATTAGCCTAAATCTAGTGTTCTGGCTCCACATTACACAACTTTTCTATTTTTTAAATTCTTTTTACCTGATTTCTTTTCCACTACCAAAATGGCTGCTGCTCATCAACCCTGCTTTAAATTTCTACCACTGCTTCTGCAACTGTTATTTAATTTGATTCACTTCTATATGGTTTTCTACCAATTCAGTCTCTTTTCCTGTGCTGCCCTACATTTATTCCCATCAATGTAAAACAATTTACCTTCTACAATTTTAATTAGCAAAAGCAATTGTTTTTCTCTACCTGATGAAAGGATGAAACAAAGTAAACATCTTAGCCCCCCCCCCCCC